ACTCTGGAGGGAGCGCTGCAGGAGTAGTAGTAGCGTTAGCATTAGTCTTCAGCGCTGGGCGCCATAGCTAGGATAGTACTAGAGAGAGAGAGAGATTGGGCGAAGGCCAGGAATACCTACCTGCAGCGCCGTTGCTCCAGCTTCGTCTTCGAGGTATCTGCAGCACAGCGCCAACTTCACAGGTTAGTATCTGGCTCGTGACAGAGAGAGAGTTCTTCTTCTTCCTCTTCTCAGTCCACCATCTCCCTCTCACCCTCTCATCATCTGACTTCACTGCATCAGCAGACTACGAGAGAAAGAGAGATAGAGAGCTTGGTGACATTGGATCCAGACTCGACTTTTGGGCTTAAGGCATTGCGACAAGGGGTTATTTGGGACTTGTGACAAAGACTTGGTGTTTACGACATTCCCATCTCTCCCCCTCTTCTTCCGCTGATCCCCTCCTCTTCGTCTGTGTATGTCTGGACCTGGCGTTTCCTTCCTGTGTACAGCGCCAGGCTCCTTCACACCTTGTGATGGACACGATGCATGTTTGGTCTGCGTTTAAACATTGATTGGGCTAGTCATTAGCATTCTAGCATTCTGCTTCGCTATCTTGTACTACGTGAATGAGGTCAGTCCCGGTCAGGTCGGGATTTGTATCTAAGTCTTCCCTGCGCTATTCAGCACCATTTTGTATGTATCAGAATGCACATTGCTTGTTGAGATTCTACTTGCACTGCATTGTACATTCAGAATGCACATTGCGGATCCTCGGTTATTGTGTACATCGCCCGACTGGGCATGTAACATCTTCCTCTTCTTTATCATCTGCTTCTTCTTCCTCCTCGTCTGTTCGTCCATGTCTAAGGTGGACTCTGTTTTCGCTGACTTCACGGACGTTGGGGACAGTCAGACTATAATGAAGTGTAACAAGTGTTGCTTTTCTGCAATTGCAGCATCGATTGTGTGGACTTGCGTCTTCTTCTTCTGTTTTTTTTTTTTTGGTCTTTTTTTTTCTGTCTGTGTGGACTCGCGTCTTCTTCTTCTGTTTTTTTTTTTTTGGTCTTTTTTTTCTGTCTGTGTTTCTGTGCTGCTGTGGAGCGAACACTGTATAAGGCTGTATGAGCCTGTATTAATGTCCACAACCATCCGCCAACAGAATCCCCGAACACCCCTGCCCCCAAAGAGCAATGCAAAATGTTGCAATATGCTGTGAAACGGTTACCTGC